CTTCACTTTTGCTAGGGTCTTACCAAATCATTATTATTTTGTTTTAATTTGAATCTAAAAGAAACATTAAGGAGGAAATTGGTTAATTAATAATCTTAACCACAAAAATTCTAATGAATAAATATGTAATCAAACTCCACAATAATAATAATATTAATAATAATATAAAATTAAAAAAAATCCAATACTAATTTCAAAAATACTTGCTTGAATAGTTAATTCAATTAGAACGTTAATTAAGTTTCACCATTTCACGAATTATATCACTAGATAACAATACGTTCTACTAGCCTAAAATTTAAGATAGCCTAAATGAGTGTAATGATTAATTATTTTATTTAATTATATTGTATTATTTTTATATTTTCAATAGAACTTGGCTATTAGTTGCTACAAAATTAAAACTTAACAAGAACTATGAATCAAAAATTCAATTTTAGCTACAGACAATAAAAGTCCTATCTATGCATTAATCTAAATGAGAAATAACATGAAATGGTTTAACAACAATATAACAAAAACTCATTAAAATAGGAAAAATAAACAATCACTAAAGTTAATTAAAATAATTTCAATGATCCCGAAACTAGAAAAAAAATATTATTCCTTATAAATCCCCAATTACTTTTACAACTTCCTTGTTAGTCCCTAGTCCTTTTTTTTGTTCCTCTGCACTCTCTAATACAATATTCTCTTTCCTATTCACTCGCCATATATATACCAATATTATTATTATTCATCTATTTGCTTACAAACTAGTGCGTGGCCCGTGCGATGCACGGGAAAACAATATTTTGATTGTATTATAAATTAAATAAATAAATAACATTAATCATGATTTATCCATTATTTTAAATTAAACTGGGTTGGACACAGTCTGACCGGATGGACCGAGAACCGGTTTATAACCAGTATATTGCGCTTGAATAAAATATATGCTATCGAATCCGTCAACATCAGTATGTTGGACTGGTAGGATCAATACGATTTTCTAAACAAATTTTGTTACATTAAAAATTATTTTAAATAAAATTACATATTTAAATAAAATAAAGATTTATAAATTGTTTATCAATTAGTTTAAACATTTGAATTTATAAATTGTTTAGACATTTAAGTAACACTTTTTATTTAAATTTATTACAAAAAGTAAAATATATATATATATATATATTAAAGTATTATGTATTAAAATCTGAACAACCACAAATGATTTAATAAAATAACTTGATCGTTTCGATGACGTTCCGGTTCTGAAAATCTTATATTTACCGTACATTAATAAAAATGATAATAAAATAATTATTTTGTTCACATAAATAATAATAAAATGATATATAAATATTCATAAATTATTAATCATGTTGTCGTAAAAGTATTGTTAATATGATTATTTGAAGTTTGGACTACATAATAAAGTATTTTCAATATTAAAATTTATATTTAGGTTCAATAATCGATTTGGTCTAGTTAAACTGATACATAACTTAGTTACCTGGGACCAACCAAGTTATGTCAAGTTTTTTGACTATTTTAAATATCACCTAAAGGTAATTCAAACAACGTGGGCAATATCCTAATTCAATCACCCGATTGATCCAAAAGTAATTTCATTATATTTTCTTTAAATATAATATTTAATTTTATGAAATAAAAAAAATTTATGATTCATATGTCTACACCAAATGATAGTATATTAAGATTATAAATTATATATCTAAAGATGAATTATTTATTTTTATTTTATGCATATTAATAAAAAATAAACATAGTAATTTAAAAAAAATCAAGATTAATTGATTGAATTTTTGGATTAGAAGATATATATTTAAAATGATTTTATTATTAAAAGTCAAAAAGAAAAGATGTCATAAAGATTACAACTTTGAAAAGTTTGTAACCATTAATTTAGGAACCATCCGATTTTAAATGATTTATAATTTTTGAAACATGATACGTCATCTAAAACCCATTAATTTAGGAATCATACAATTTTTTGATAATGAATTAAAATTAAAATGTAAAATAAAAAATTGCTAAAAATAGTATGTAATAAATGTAGGTTGACTTTTCCTTATTACTATTTATGGTAAATGTTAATTCTTATTATATATATATATAGATCATAAAAAATGGAAAAAGAAATTCAGATCTCATCTCTCTTTTTCTCTGAATTCCGTCGCTGCTCTCAGATCTCTCTCTCAATTCGCTTCTTGCTCCTCTCAATTCACTCCTCCAGCAGAGCGCGTCTATTTCACTCACCGCTCCCCCTTCTTCCCTCCTCCATCCGCCGGAGGTCCGCCGCCGGGCTCAACTCGCTTGCTCTCCGCCCGGAAGCTGTGTTTCAGAGATGCTCTGTCCCCGTCACTCGCGGCGGATTCTTCCTCGGGCTGTCGCCCGAGCCCAATCGTGTGGTCGATGAAGCGGAGTGTGAGGTTTTCGGGCCCGGGATTTTGCGATTTTGGACCCAGGTCGGGCGGCGCGGTGGTAGCTCTGTTTCTTGCCTATTGAATCAAATCTCTCTTTATTCTTTTGGTTAGACAAGACGGTAAAATCCAAAAATGATACAATTTGGAGGGCAAGGTACGTTCTTTTACAGATTCAACTGGCAAAGGAGAAATGGGGGGTTTTTTTATACTTTATACATAGCTAGTTTGTTAACATTGGAAATAATTGATTTTTCCTGCTTCAACTATTTATCCAGAATTTCTTGTTGGGTTGTGACTTGTTGGTGGGTAGTTGTTCTTGATGAGATTATAAATGGATAGTCATCTCTTAATCCAACAAGAAGGATCCAAACTACAAAAGGACTGTAATAGCTTGGTTCATACAAGCTGTCTACCTCCTCGAGCTCGACCGGCAGGAGAACCGAACAGATACCGAGCAGGCCCTCGCTCCCAAATGGTGGGCCCCTTTCAAATACAATCTCGTCGAGACCCTTACGGACGAGCGTAACAACTCTATATTCGGCTGCCATTATCAGACTTCGTGCTCCTGAGGCCGAGCGGTGCCCCACGGGCTGTCATAGCCCTCCACGGAACTCTCCTGAAGGGTCCCTCCATTAGACGAGACATCGAGGATGAACTCCGGTTCTTTACGTGGGAGAGCTTGAAAGGGTCCGTGAGATTTGAACGCGCGCTAAAAGCGTTGAAAGAAGTTTTTCGAAGGTACGGGAGCAATAACGTGTGTGTGGTCGGGCACTCGTTGGGTGCCGGTTTTGCGCTCTACGTCGGGAAGAAAGGTGTGTGTGTGGAGGCTCACCTTTTCAACCCGCCCTCGATTTCTTTAGCTTCGGGAGTGAGGGCCGTGGGGGAGAAGGCTGGGAAGGCATGGAGGAAGGTCCGGTCAATGCTGCAGACGGGCGGTAATGAGAATGAAAGCAGGTCGTGTGATGAGGTGGTCGGGCAGGCGAAGAAGAAGAAGTGGGTCCCGCATTTGTATGTGAACAATAATGATTACATTTGTTGTTATTACAGTGACCCGGTGGTCGAGACGAAGGGGATTGATGGTAGTGGAGAGGATAATGAGAATGATGTGAAGGCTGCAACAGCTGTAGAAGCGGAAGCTAAGCTCTTTGTGCTGTCGAGGGGGATTTCTTGGCCTCGAGAGTCCATGCGAATTTTTGGAGGGACTCGGCCAGGTCGGGAGGGATTATTTTATTTTATTTTATTCAAATGGACGGTGTATTTTTTAATGAATATGAATCTCTTAATGAGAAGGAGAATTTTGTTCGGCTAGAGGCATGAACGTTTGGTGATTGCTCGGTTTCTACAGGATCTGAGGTTTGAGAAACTGAGGAAGATGGTGAAACTGTGAAAAGAATGAGATTTAATTTATGATATTTTGGCATTGGTTTTGAAATAACAAAGAGGAAATTTGTATGTTAATGTCAATGCATATAATATAGGAGATTGGAGGATTTTGTTTTTGGAGATTTTCTTGACTGTGTTCAATTTTTTCTTATTGGTTTGTAAGGTACATTTGTTGATGAATTTTGAGAAGATGATACTAGTTTTCTTAAGAAAGTTATGTTTTAGAAACTGATACCAGTTTTCTTCACATTAGTACCAATCTTATGCAATATTGTACTCGTTTTATAGTAATTACTACTTTGTATAAAAAAAAATGATGTGAAAGTTTTAAGTTATGTTTAGTAAAATTGTACCAGTTTTAAAATAAATAGTACCAAAAAATGAATTACTTCAATTTTGGTCAACATTTTTAATATTAGTACCAGACCTAGAGTAAGATAGTACCACATTTATGGTGTTCTAGTACCAGATATCGGGTCTTCAGTACCAACTCTGATGGACATAAGAAAAAAAAAAAAGGTTTTTCGTAAAATGGTATCTATTTTTCGACAAAAAGTCTCATTTCTTCTTCTATGTAGTACCAGTTACTAATCAATTAGTACCTACTTTGTAGAAAGAACAAAAAATAGATTACTTCAAATTTGGTCAACATTTTCAAAATTAGTACCAGACCTAGAGTAAGATAGTACCAGCTTTATGGAGTTTTAGTACCAGATATCGGGTTTTCGGTACCAACTCCGGCGAACATAAAAAAAACACCGAATTTCGGTCTCAAATGATGTTTATATGACTAATTATCATTCTCACATTAGTTTCTATAAGATTTAAAATGTGTTTCATTAAGTTTAGTAGCAAATTGGTCACGAACTGAACACACTAATGAAAAAAACACTGCTAATACACTTCATCTAATTAAAAGACACACTTCATCTCATTGAATTATCATACATGATTACTCTAAATTCTACCTATATGTTTTTACTTCAACTATTTCTCAACAAAATCACGCGTAAATGATCCACGTGGCATGGTATACATGAAGGATTAAAGAAATCATGATTACTAAAACGTACCAGTTTTAACAGAAATAGTACCGCTTCTTCTTCTGCGTAGTACCTGTTTTTAATCAATTACTACCTACTTTTGGTCAACGAAAATGGATTACTTCAATTTTGGTCAACATTTGCAAAAATTGATACCAAACCTAGAGTAAGATAGTACCAACTTTTGGTGTTTTAGTACCAGATATCGGGTCTTTAGTACCAACTCCGACGAACATAAGAATACACCGAATTTCGGTCTCAAATGATGTTTATATGATATTTAAAATGTTTTTAATTGAGTTTAATCGCAAATTGGTCATGAACTCGACACACTAATGACAAAACACTACTAATACACTTCATCTCATAGACGCATCATACATGACTACTCCAAATTCTACCTATATATTTTAACTTCCACTATTTTTCATCCAAATCATGCTTGGACAATCTACGTGTCATGGTAGACATGAAGGATTAGAGAAATCACGATTCTTAAAAAAGTACTTGTTTAGCCAAAATAGTACCGCAACTTCTTCTACGTGGTACTTGTTTTTGATTGATTAGTACCTACTTTTGTGAACGAAAATGGATTATTTTAGTATTGGTCAACATTTACAAAAAGTAGTACCATACATATAGTAAGATAATGCCAGTTTTATATTGTTGTAGTACCTTATATTGGGTCTTTAGTACCACTTGTAATGAACACGTAAAAACACCGAATTTCAGACTCAAATGATGTTTATATGACTCATAATCCCTCTCACATTAATTTATATGAGATTTAAATACTTTTAATTGAGTTTAATCATAAAATGGTCATGAACTTGACACACTAATGAGAAGACACTACTAATACACATCATTTCATTGAATGACATACTTCATCTCATAGAATCATCATACATGACTACTCTAAACTCTACCTATATGTTTTAACTTCCACTATTTCTCATCCAAATCACGCGTGAATGATCCAATTGTCATGGTAGACATGAAGGATTAGAGAAATCACAATTCCTAAAATAGTACATGTTTTACCCAAAATAGTATCGCATCTTCTTCTACGAGGTACCTGTTTTTGATCGATTAGTACCTACTTTTGTGAAGGAAAACGGATTATTTCAATTTTGGTCAACATTTACAAAAAGTAGTATCAGAAATAGAGTAAGATAGTACCGGTTTTATATTGTTGTAGTACCTGATATTGGGTCTTTAGTACCACTTGTAATGAACACATAAAAACACAGAATTTCGGTCCCATATGATGTTTATATGATCCATAATCACTCTCACATTAGTTTATATGAGATTTAAAATGTTTTTAATTGGGTTTCATCGCAAACTGGTCATGAACTCTACACACTAATGAGAAAACACTACTACTACGTATCATTTCATTGAAAACACTTCATCTCATAGAATCATCATACATGACTACTCCAAATTCTACCTATATGTTTTAACTTCCAATATTTTTCATCTAAATCACGCGTGAATGAGCCACGTGTCATGGTAGACTTGAAGGATTAGAGAAATCACAATTCCTAAAATGATACCTGTTTTTGATCGATTTGTACCTACTTTTGTGAAGGAAAATGGATTATTTAAATTTTGGTTAACATTTACAAAAAGTAGTACCAGAAATAGAATAATATAGTACCAGAAATAGAGTAATATAGTACCAGTTTTATATTGTTGTAGTACCTGATATTGGGTATTTAGTACCACTTGTAGTGAACACATAAAAACACCGAATTTCGATCTCAAATGATGTTTATATGATCCATAATCACTCTCACATTAGTTTCGATGAGATTTAAAATGTTTTTAATTGAGTTTAATCGCAAATTGGTCATGAACTCAACACACTAATGAAAAAACACTACTAATACACTTCATTGCCGATCGGGTCTTCAGTACTTATTCCGATGAACATAAAGAAAAAAAAAAGAAAAGAATTTAGTAAAATGGTACATGTTTTTCCACAAAAAGTATCACTTCTTCTTCTATGCACTACCAGTTACTGATCAATTAGTATCTACTTTGTAGAAAGAACAAAAAATGGATTACTTCCAATTTGGTCAACATTTTCAAAATTAGTACTAGACCTAGAGTAAGATAGTACCAGCTTTATGGTGTTTTAATACCAGGTATCGGGTCATTAGTACCAACTCTGACGAACATAAAAAAAAAAATACCGAATTTCTGTCTCAAATGATGTCTATATGACTCATTATCAATCTCATATTACTCTCTATGAGATTTAAAATGTGTTTAATTATGTTTAATTACAAATTGGTTACGAATTCAACACACTAATGAACAAACACTACTATTACACTTCCTCTTATTAAAAGACACACTTCATCTAATTGAATGATCATACATGACTACTCCAAATTTTAACTATATGTTTTAACTTTCACTCTTTCTCAACTAAATCACGCGTGAACGATCCACGTGGCATGGGGGGAAATTTAATTGTAGGGCTTGACTTTTTGTTATTGTGTCACAATAAGCCCTAAATTTTTAATTTTTTCATTTGAATGTTTTAATTTTAACTTATTCTCAATATAAGGCCTACTTAAACATTCTACTTTTCAATTTAACACTCCATATAAATTTGTATTATGATATAATTATGTAAACAACAATACTTTTTATAAATTTTATTTTTCAAGTACTTATGATTAAAATATTAAATATCTTTAGTAAAATTATATAATAAGATAATTATTTTATAATTTACATTTATGCAAAAACTTAATGAAATTTATTTTAAAAGTTAAAAAATAAATATTAACTTAATTTTAATCTAAATATGTGATAACATTAAAATATAAACGATTTAGAAAAATAGTTTTATTTTTTGTAAATATAACTTATTTAAAATATTATTTGTGAATAAAACTACCTATAATAGAATTTTTCAGTTATTAATTTTATATATTCTTAACTTTTTCAAAAATATAAATTTTATTCACAAACAATATTTTCTAAAATTTTATTTAAGAAAAATAAATTATTTTTCTAAATAGTGTATATTTTAATGTTATCATATATATAGATTAAAATTAAATTATTATTTTTTAACTTTTTAAAATAAATATTTAAAATTTAACTCAAAAATTTTAACTTTTTAACTTTCAACAAATAAATATTTAAAATTTTAGTCCTTCATGCACGGAATTTCACAATAAATAATATAATCTCGCCTTAATGGCCATTTATATTGAAATTATATACCTTTTAGTATTTTAAAATGTTTATAACGTGATTCATCGCGTTTTGCCTCTTATACTACGCAACATAAGTAAAAATTCGTGTTGCGTAATCTATTAGAGTATAAAATTTTATTTGTTAAGAATATCATATATTTGCATATAATAAAATTGGGTTGTTAATTTTAAAAAATAGTAATATTATATGACACTAAAGTTTAGAATAAAATAATGTTGAGTATTATGATTAATAAAATGAGGGCTGTTTTATTTTGGCATAAAATGTCCAAATTTAAATGATATGAATTTCATTTGGTATTGCTAGAATTGTATTTAATTTTGAAAATAAAATAAGTGGTATGAATTTTATTTGGTATGGGTATGAAAGTCGAACTTTAAATTGATTTGTTATAAAATCAAGATGATATAATTCTCATTTTTTAGCATATTCCTATAATAACTTGTCAAAAGATAATTCATACGCTATTTTAGGCATATTACTACATATACATGTTCGGTTTTAGGCTTGAGAATTACCATAAACTATTTTAGATTTTTTTTTCTCAAGTTACCGTATACTTCTCTACTCTTCCTTATTTAATTCATATAATAATTATTATAATAAATATGTATTTTTTTTATGTTTAAACCTTTATAATTTTTTTATTTTTATTTTATTTTTGTATGTTAAAATAATCATATTTTAATGATCTTTGATTTGACATCTATATTGCATATATAAAATAAAAAATAATTACGTTTATCAATATAAATAAAGCTATATTTATTAAAAAAAAATAATTTCAACAATATGAATGCAACATAAATTATTTTATAACAAAAATAATAGAAATCTAATTCAGTAATACACTATAAAATAATTATTTTAATGCGTTTTATCATAGATTTTTAATAAAATAATAAAATTAAGTGAAAAAATACGGACCCCATTTTGAATTAATTATTATTTTGTTAATTATTCATAATTTTTATATATTCATTATACATAATTTTACAATATAAAAATAAATTATTTTAGTTTTTCTATTGTACAAATATTAATATATTTACGTACCCGTGTAGTACATATGTATCGTACTAGTTGATATAGGGTAGGTTACAATATTAAAATTAGATAGATCTTTGAATAAATAATTTTTAATAAAATTTAAATTATATAATTTAATTTTAGAAAATTAGTTGATAAATTTGAACGACATAAAATATAGATTTATAGATTTAGTATAATATAAATTTATATGAAATAAAGATTATAAAAATATAAATTTTTTTAATTTGGACAATTTATACAAAAATAAATTTATACTAATTAATAAAAAATTAAGAAAAATTAGTAGTAGGAGAGATAAATAGTAGAAGATGATAAAAAGAAAATAATAAAAATATGTGGAGAAAGAAAGAAAAGAAAAATAATAAACAATTAGAAAAGTTAGTAGTGGAGAGAGAGAAAACTAATAAAATAATATGTTATGTTGGTTGTAGTGGGATGATGTAATAAGTGATTTTATTTTTGATTTTATTTTAACACTAGGGAGTTAGGAAGAAGAAAATTAAGGGGGTAGGGAGTGTAGAGGAAAAAAATTTGTAAGAGGGACTGAGGAGGAAGTTTAAAAGTGGATTGGGGTTTTTTAAGGAAGTTGCCCTTATCTTTACACAATTATCTTTATAATTAACGTTAAGTTTCTGGACTGCTTTTATGACGAATCTCGAGTAAGAACAATGTCGTTCTTCATGCCCGTGCACTCGTGTCTTCTTCAGAGCCACAATTTTACCAATCGATTTCTCTCTCGCTCTGTTCACTTTCCCGTAGATGTCCTCGCTCTCCCACTTTGTCCAGGTTCACGAACGCCTCCATAGCCGATTTCAGTTTCTTCCCCATCTCTCACACTGTGTAAATGATTTTTTTTTCCTTTCATATGAAAAATTGAAGGTAAGTGAGTGGAATTTGGGCGATTAGGGTTTGATTGGAAGGTGGACTCTGGATGCATGAGGAGTTGAAGACGAATATTTTTGTTTTTTATATTTTTTATTTTTTATTTAATAATTGGTTGGCCAGTCCGCGGATATGCCCGGCCCACCCCACCTGGCGCGGGCTCGCCCTTTAAGCCCGCTCTCCAGCGGACCTAGAAAATTTCAGCCCAACCCGTCTCTTTGGCGGTGCATGGCGGGCCGGCCCGCGGGCTGTTTTGAGAGGGAGAGGTCTAATTTTGTGTGAGTAATAGTAGGCTGAGAGGGAGAGGTCTAATTGATGGATTAATTTGTAGCTTAAGAAGGATGAGCTATTGAAGAGGATAGAGCAGTAAACGAACCGAACGTTAGCGAACAAAAGCTCGTTCGTTTGTTAATCGAATAATCGAACGAACAAGAGCTTGTTTGCGAATGTTCGATAATGTTCGTGATCATTAATTTGATATAATTTTATTTTATTTTTTATACATTTACATAATATTTTTAATAAAAAATTTAAAATATAAAAATATTTATTTCGAGTTCGAACGATTAAATTTCGAGTTAATCAAACATGTTTATATATTAAATTATTCGAACATGAACGAAGTCGAACTTTGACGAACAATTTAACGAACGAACTCGAACACAACTTTTTGCTCGAAAAATAAATGAACGAACACGAACACTGTTCAAACGTAAACGAACACGAGCTTGAACAGCTCAAAGTCAGTTCGGTTCGGTTAGTTTACAGCACTAGAAGAGGATAGATTTATGACCAATGAGGGAAAATTTGGTGCTACCCCTAGGGGCAGTGCAGTCATGTCCCTAGGGACCTTTGATTTCACACACACCCATGTGGGTGTGTATGTGTATGTGTATAAATCAAGGGCCCTAGGGACATGAATGCACTGTCCCTAGGGGTAGCATCGCCCCTTCCGACCAATGAGATCCATAGATTTACTTCATCAATCAATCGCCATCCAATCCAATGTGGTTACATCCACGTGGACCTCTTTTCCTACACTATTTGCGCTATAGTATCTTGGATTTCCTCTTAATCATATCTCCATGACTCCATCAACACATATATACATGGGTGAGCAAATAAAACGTTTGTTTCCTCACAATTTCCATCAAGGCCTCATTTATTTGGTGGATGAGATTGGACACAATAATCCTATTTACATTTACACATCAGCACAAAATCAAGTTTACGAAATTCCTATCAAGCATTTACTTTGGTGTAATAAAATTATCTGATGTGGATTAAAAGACTACTATACCCCCTCATCTTCAATATCAAAATTTCAGAATTTGTCGTCGGCAAAGCTTATTTTCGCACTATCCATTCTACAACAAATTGCACAGGAGGCGACGTGCACTGAGTTTTCTACCCATAGTTCCGTAGAAATCCGGCGGCGATGGTCACATAATAATGCTCGTCGGGAGTCGGGTGTAAGCAAGAGGTCTACGACGAGTGACAGATCGATTTTTGGATCCCTAACATTCGTTCCTTAATTTGTCGAGCCCTAATCCGATTCAAACCCGACGTCAATTTTGGGCAAATGCACAGGGCGATGGTTAATCAAAAACAAAANAAAAAAAAAAAAAAAAAGAAAAAAAAAACCAACATTGAGAGGGGAACAGAATTACAGAAACACAAATTCCGACTATGAAAAACTAGGGTTCTTGAAGAGGGCAACCATAAGGCATTCAACTATGTACTATACATGTGTGCATTGTCGATGAAACGATGAGCTCCACGCCTCTGCACTTTCGAAACCAAGTCGACGAAGATGAGGGCTTATTGCAGATGCAGACGAATTTTAGTATTTAAATGGTAAGGTATTGTAATTAAATGGATGTTGAAGGGTATTTAAGTCTTTTCTCAGCCAATTTTGAGGGTAAAACCGTCATGTACAGGACGAGATTAAAAAATCTCAGGGTCTACTCCGGGACAGAAATAATCAGCCAATGAATGATATGCTTGTGGGACCTGCAAACATGTACGCCACGTCAGTTCAATCTTGTCCCAATCACTTTATATAAACGTTAGATATTAAGGGATAATTTTACTTATCCCGTCCTGTCAAGCGAAGTAAACGACAAGGGTCTAATACATACCTAGTTAAACACTTAAAACTACTCCATTTTGTATAATTACATTTCTGGATGTTATTCGAGTAGGAGTACCTCATGATTGAAGCCGTGCTTGTTTAATTCATTGTGAAAGGCTCAGATTGAGCTCGTCCTTTTAAGCCAGTGAAAGTTTTGCTTGACTCGACTAATTTAATAAATTTTAAACGTGTTATTTGCAAACAAGTTTGACGCGACTCTTTCATTCACAATCCATNTAAAAAAAAAAAAAAAAAAAGAATTATAGTTATTTGCAAATATGTTTGGCTAATTTAATAAACCAATTCAATTAGTTGTTTAGGCATTCGCAAATTTTCCCTTTCAAATTCAAGAATATTTACATTTAAAGCATAGAGATTCTTTATTTATGGATGAAATACTCATCCAAGGGGTAAATTCGATGCTGCAAGTAATGACACTGCCTTCACCTCCTAAAATTCTGACACATGTTCATTCTCTTTTTTTAATTATTTTATTTTTTTCATCCATTAAAATACAGATAAATGTAAACCAGGGTTAAGAAAAAAAAAATACTATCTTCCCAAAAGTTTCGATCGGCGCCACTTCAAAATTTTTCATCTCCTCAAATTTCAGTCGGCGCCAGTTTTAAAAATTTTGAATCCAAAAATTTGAAAACTTCACTACCTACTATATAAATCACCTTCAAATATTTTTTATATGCATATGTATTTTTTCAGATCTAAATAATTTTATATAAACTCTTCCTTCTTTTCTTCACCTCAATAAATCTTCTCAACTTGTAGTAAACCATAAATTAGACGGTTTATTTTCACTGTCAAGAGTCACCTCCACTGAGATTCACGTGATTCCCTCGTCCCGCGCCACTAGAATTAGAGTACTTGTTGCCGCCGTGATTCTGTTGCCACCCAGATTTTGTTGCCGCCGGGATTTGTTGTCACCGGGATTTATTGCCGACGGGAGTACCATGGAATAGTCGCAGATCTAAAAAGGATTCCATATACATCCTTCTTTATTTTCTTGTTGCCGTCGGGAAGTTGCCTGTAATTTGGCTATGCAACATTTTTTTTTTTTTGCAGATCTAAGAGGATGAACGAACGATGGGGTAGGGGACTTTTATTGGGTTGAGTTGTACTTGTGTTGGGCTATAACAGATATTGGTCTTAAAATCTTTTTTTTTTTCTATTGTGTTGAGCTATAATAGATATGGGCTTAGAATTTATTTTTTTTTTCTATTGTGTTGGGCTATAATGGATATTGGGGTTAGAATCTTTTTTTACAAACTTTTTATTTTTTTTTGTTGGGCTATAAGACTTAATTGGCTCACAAATTATTTTTTATTGAGTTTGATTGTAATTGGCTTTGACGAAACGATAGAGGTACTATTAAAAACTCAAACGAACCACGTTCGAATATTACAAACCAACCGGAAAGGAGAAATGAGAGGACACGCTCAAGGCGGCCTAGAACCTCAACAAAAACAGCAAAAAAAACATACTAACTAAAAACCCTCCACTGCCAATGTCTAGAGGTGGCAAAATGCCTAATCAAAACAAACCACAAAGAGTTTCAAGATCAACAAACAAAAGAGAAAAAAGAAACAGAAGAACTAACAAAAATAGTGTCAGATGGTAGAAGCTCCATGCTGTTTTGCAGTTGAGAAAGCCAGTCTTTTTAGTTTTTACTAATTATGTTTCAACTATTATTTGTGTTTTACTATATTCTTTTGTTTATCATTGAGTATATATTTTTGTAAACTAGTTACCATAATATATATGATAGTATGAATTTCAGTGACATTGAAATTAAAAAAGTAAAATAGTTGCATATCTTCCCCATTTTGCAAACATACTCTGTATTCAATATCAATTAGTAAATAATACAAATACCATATGAATTATTTGAATAGAACATCAACAACACAATACAACAATTCAAATCACAATACTCCTAAACTTCAAATAGAAGAGTAGTCAAGTGCAATAAAATGAAAGGAGAAGCTTACTATGCTAATAAATAGTCAAGTGCAATAAAATGAAAGGAAAAAGTTTGATATGCTCCTAAAAAGTCAAATGCATAACCCAACTAACAAAAAATAGCCCAAGTGCAATAACTCAAACTATATAAACCCAAATAACAAAATAGTAATCCAAATGAAATAACTCCAAATGCAACAACAATTCACACAAGAAATGCTATAAATAATGGCTAAAGTACGGAAATATACACATCATGTTTTAGAAATAACACTTTTACGATAGGTTTTTTTAATTGACATTTTTATTATTTCCAAAAATTTGTTTCCCACAAACATAACACATTCAATCAATATCTTCTCTCTCCAATCACTCCCACAATGGTCATTGTGGAACTTCCTAATAAAAAAAACCCCACAACGAATTGAATCCAAAATACTATCATATTTAGTGCAATTGTAGATAAACTTTCTAAAATTTTATTTTTCAGAACCGTTTGAAAATATAAATTGTTCATGTTTTTTATATAAGTTGTTCAAAAAATACTTCTATTATGAAATGAAATATAAAAAAAGTTATACTAAGTTTATTTATTGTTTATATAATACACAAAAGACCACAGAGTGAGGGAAGTTTGTCTGGTTATTCTTAAAAGGTCAAATATTAACCGTTAAATTTCGTATGTATAAACTTAAATAAATTGTATGTCATCACATTCATGATTGATAAAATTTTATCAATGGAATATCAATAGACCCTAATTAAACAGTAGAGAAACAAAATAATAAAATAAATTTTAAACTTGTAATATACTACTTATAAACATCTTATAGAAGTTGATGATATCCAAATTATGAATATATATAAATTCTTCAAACTCATACCTACAAACAGGAGAAATAATTTTTACCAACTTCCGCAACCAACATAATCAACATATCGGAATTTATGAAAAAATAGAAGGGGAAAAATAATAATAATAAAAAAACACTCATTTTCAAGAGATTTCAACAAACTTAAAAAATACATAGTTTCAAGAGATTGCCACAAACTTATACCCAATTGGCATAATTTCAACAAATTTGAACGGTGCCGGTGAGAATGACATGTTTTGGGAGAATAGATTTTGAGAAGCAGTAATATCATTTACCTTCTAAAGGTTTAGTTACCTTTTTAATTCAAATGAATGTCAAAGAGCCATTTCTGGAATAAAAAAGTTTAAAAACTCGTGATTATGAATGGATTATCATTTAAGTGGAATACATTTTTTGAATTCGTAATTTGGAAAATAAGAAATAATATAGTTGTGTAGGGGGTAATTTTAATCCAAGACAAATGGCAAAAATTCTAGCAGCAACACATGCTTGGAACTCCAAAATTTATCCTTGATTGTCGTTGTTATGAGATGGACCCTAATAAGAGAAAATAAAAAGTCAGTGAGAGAGAATGTCACTTCTTGTAGATATTTATTTTACTCAATGCAATTAAAATATCATTACAATTAAAATAATACTGAACCTGTGATGAATTTGGAAGTGGATATCCAAATAAACTCAATTGCCCACTAAAGTCTTCCTGTGGAACAAATGTAGAATATAAAATGTAATAATATGAGATTTTCATGCATGTTAATACTACAGTCACACTCCTCTTCCCCTTAAGAAAAATACATATGTTACCTCTTGAGTTTGATATTGCCAAGGTGCTTGTCCCGGTCCAATTTGAGATGAAAATTGTGCGGTTTGGAATGTAAGCATGTTTGGAAGATTCGGTAACCATTAGGAACTTGAAAAGGAGGTGGAATTTGTGGTTGTGGTATATTAGGAAATTGAGTTTGGCGGAAATTGTCCAATGTATGTGACTTTTCAGACTCCTGTGAACTTGGCACCTTTCTTTTGGAACCTTTTCCAAATAAAGCACATAAGTTCAACAAAGTTAAAAAAAAAAATGACTTGAAAAGAAATATAATGCCAACTAAACAAGAAAACTTACTTGAACTATCACCGTGGACCTTTCCTCTTCCTTTTGCCTTTTTGGTCTTTGCATCCCAATGACGCATAATGCATGCATTTATTAATCCTCTTGACTTGGCCGTAAGTGGGTTACGTATCCGTACAACCTCTATGGTACCATCATTTGCAATATCGTCATGCATACTCGAGTCTTCAAGATTCAAATTTTGAACCAAATCCATAATTTGGTGTTTTGCTGCATCTAACGTTGTGGTCAATATGCTCCGGGCCTCCAAATGAAATTTGCTCATGTGAGCAAGATTGTATGCCGTTCTCATGGCTTGGTTCACAAAAACGAGCCCGGATTCTTCACCGCTTCCACAAGCACCATCACTTGCTTGGAAATCATTATGAATTCTCAACCTCGCACTTTTCATCCACCTTTTCAAAAGGTAAGGCTCCGGTATCTTAGTCACATCCAAGTAGTTGAATACCATTAAAACATGCTTGCACAAAATTCCCATGGTCTCAAACTTGTGACAACTACACCTTGCTTCATTAGTTTGAGAATTCATGAAAACATGCCTTACCCTCGAGTTATCGCCGTGAGATTTTACTTTAAACCCTAGTGATCCACAATCATTGGCACTCTTCAATGGAGGACCAGGACCATCGAATTTGCAATTCAAAGAATTCACAAATTCAATCTCAAACAACCCATAAACGGTAAGGGTATACACACTAGCACCATGATTAAGCAATGGATGGTTCTTAAGAATTTGAGCAGGTTTGCCATGACAACAATGAGTATCTTCAGCCTTCTCTTTAGACCGCCATTGACTTAGAATTTTCTCATAATTCATGACAAATTCAAATAAAGAACTAGTCTTGTTACCTGTCTGTTTCAAAATCATATTTGCATTCTCACTTCTTGATGTAGCCAACATCCCGGCACTAAATAGCTTATTACTAAAAGCTGTAGCCCATTTTCTTCTAAGCTTATACATGCCAAACAACCATTTATGATCATGCAATTTAAATGAATCAAGCATAAATTTCCACGTGCTCTCAAACTCCTCCTCAGAATCACACTGAGACATACACTTATACCATAAGGCCTTGAACGATGCATTACCATTTAAATTACCCAAGTGAGAAGGAGCATTTTGATTTATATGCCATTGACACAAACGATGATGAGCACATATCAAATTGTACTTATTTGTTCTATAGGTAGTATCAATAGAAAGAACATCACCAAAATGCTCGTAGTCCACCGCACATCTATAATCCCTGAAGAAAAAAATTAATCACCCTGTCCTCATCATCCAATTGCACATTTCAATAAAAAAAACATTCATTATTTTCCTTATGAATAAAGTGTTGAAGCAATGCAGTGGCATCCCCATTTTCAACTTTTGTATGTTTCTTCAATTTCCCAATATGGTCATATGCATCCTTTCGAATAAAACCTAAATTTTCAGGCCCTTGGGGTTCATTCTCCATATAGGAAATAGCATTAGCCACAGAAATTCCAGCGTTCACCATAGCTTGTAAAGTAGACTGTTTTGCATGAGAAATGTTACGGGCGGATCTTAACAAGTGAGTTTGGTCCGGCGCAAACATTTCATGATTATGTTCAATAACAAATCTACTAACTTGCCAATCTCCTCCTTTTGGTCTCTTAATCTTAAGTTGTGCTTTACAAGAAGTTCTAGTTATCGGCTTTTGATAAATTAGAATTTTTTTACTAGAACATTTTTCATCTTTTTCACCAGCACAAGAACAACCAAAGATCTTTGGCTGAATTTCACTATTACGGGAAAAACAACGTTGATCTCCTTTTCTAACGCTAAATCCTTTAGCATGTGCATATTGACAATAAAGCAAATAAGCATCATCAATACCATTCACCATTGTACCCACAGCTAACTTACTCTCTAGAGCATCAACCATATTATTTGAAGAATGTGCCTCACCATGTTCTAACAGCTCAGGCGGTTCCAATTCGGGATATTCCAAATCAACACCAAAAATATCATCTGCTCCAATATTTGCTCCATTCCAATCCCCATCTAAATTGATGTCCATGTTCCTACAATTTTCGCATAAACAAATTAAAAATAAAAAGAGACAAAATTAAAGGTTCTATTTTTTGCTTGGAGAATATGAAAAAACTGATAATTATCAAGTACCTATTTCAAAAGAATTGAGAAGATATATATCATTGAAATGTTGCCATTCAATTTTGATTCCTCTGTTCTAGAAGAAAATACAACTGCGGGTGGTAATGGGTTGTACGGGTTAGTGACCGGGTCTCCGGCCGGGGTGGAGTTGTTAGTGTTATATACTGAAAGCTTGGCTTTGCATGTTATTACACATTTACCCTTTATGAATGAGAATCATGTTAGATTAAACAAGTTCTACGTTCTGTTGTTCTGCACTTAGATAGGGTGGGTCGTCATCGGGCGAACCGAAGATCACTCTGTCAGTCACTTGCGAACAAGAATAGTTGTTCACAACCTAGATGGACATGAACACCCCATCCGAACGGTTGTAGTGTCAACTGTACAGTTTGTCTTGACTGATTAGTTGCACTAGTACATTTATGTATTGAACAGGATCCCAGAGAGGAGAAGTTCATTTTATACTGATCGTCGTAAATGAACTAGGCCTCGGTTAATTACTGCGTTCTCTTAACCCGTAAGATATTAAACAGGCAGATATATATAATATATATTACTTTGATTCACATGGGTGAGGTTCAGTTCGCTGGATTAATATTCCTACTGTTTTGGGTAATATTATTATATATAGGATGTGCTGTTAGGATATTTACGGTCACCATGTGCGTTAGTTTGATGATGTCCCCGGAGTGAGTTCATGAAGGATTGTTATGCTAAACCCTGCAGGTGGATTAAATTCCGGCATAATAAGAATGTGATGAACGAGCGCTAGCTTCGGTGAAATAATAATAAATTAATTAATTCTTGATTGTCAGTAATCGAATTAATTAATGGACATTATATCTTAAACGTGGGGAGGTAAATCGAGTAATTATTATTGGAGTCTCAAATGTAATTTGGGCTAGGGAAAGGGAGTGCAATAATATAATGTTGGTGGCCCATTAATATTATTTAATTAATTAGAGGAGTGGGTTTGGCCCACAGTTAGTCTAATTAATTAAGGAGCCCTTTTCCTAATCTCCTTAGGGTCCCTACTGTAGCTCTATATATACATCATTAAGCTCATGAGAAGAGAATAGAAGTCTCATTCTCACGTGAAACCATCTCTCTCTCTAGATCTCATTCGAGCTTTATCTTCTTCTTGTTGCTCCACTGGTACAAGTTGAAGAAGGGTGTATTGAGTAATACAGTAGAAGATCTGTAGGTAAACCGAGACGAAATTGATTTTGACCTACAGAACTAACCGGAAGTCCGATTGAGACGTACAGTATACCCAGACGACCGTCTCGACGAGAGCTTTCCATCGCCGCCGACGTCGCCGGAATCCGACGCCGCACGCGCCCTCACGCGCCGCCGGAAGGTGTCTGGCAGCAAAATTTCGTTTTGATCTGTTTGCATCCGTTTGATCCAGTTTTGATCTGATCTTGTTCGTGCAACCCAAGACGCGTGTTGCGGTCAATCAATTGCGGTCAACCGTTCGTGGTCAACCAGATCTACATAAATTTTAAGCCGTAAGTTCTCTACGTCAAACCTTTAGATCCGCTGCGCATAGGTTTACGTTTGCTATTGAATTCGTGATTTGTACATAACGAGATCCTCACAGATCCCAACAAGTGGTATCAGAGCACTTGGTTAATTCGTTTTGTACAAAGTTCGAATTTTTACGGCTTTATTTGACAAGATGTGTTCAAACGCAGCCATATATTGGATTATATTTGCATAACTCGGTTTTGCAGGAAAATAGTTAATCCACTATTATGGCCGATTATGTGTTTGATGAATGTTGTTGAATGTGATGTATGGTTTTAAATTTGTTTTTAAAGCCTCGGGCATGTCGAGGAATTTATGGATGAATGTTTGTAATAATTATTCGCCCGGGGGTTGACCGGATAGATTTAATTATTTGTTTAGAAAACATGTACATCCATTCGTTGGATCTAGGATCGAATTATGTAATTTTGTAAATTATATTTTTCGTGTTGTGATCGTGTGTTGATAACCGGGAGATCACAAGAGATCAACGAGCCTCGAAGAATTAAAAAAAAAAAAAAAAGTCGGCGTTTTTCTGGCGAACTGGTGGCGGCGGCCGGCGAACCGGCGGTGGCTGGTGGCGGCGGCAGGTGGCGGCTGGTAGCTGGTGTTTTTGCCTTGTTGTCCAAGCAGTACAAGATCAACCAGGATTCTACTGCTTAAAGGAGTTCCAGTTGAACAGGGAAAAGAACTGTCACAGTTTCCTTGTTTAAGGAGACTCAATATTTAATGGCCATAATAGTGGATTTATTTATTTATTTAATTAAATTTATTATGCCATTAAATTATTATTTATGCATGTTAATTAATTATGTTCTTGCATGGGATTAATTTAGTATTGCAAGATTAATTATGCATGTTAATTAATTATGTGATGCATAGGATTAATTTAGAATTGTGTCAATAAATTATGCATGTAATTAATTATGTTCTGGCATGGATTAATTTAGAATTGCATAAATTATTGAACATGTTAATTAATTATTGCATTGACATAGATTAATTTAGAATTGCATGAATTAATATGCATGTTAATTAATTATTGCATTAACATAGATTAATTTGGAATTGTATAAATAGTTAAAAATCCTCATTAAATTATACTAAGTTTGAGAAGGGATTTTAAATTAAAGTTAATTGTAAAATTCCTAAGGCCTCCATTTCTAATTTGTCGGTAAATCAATTAATTGCGGCAATGGGCTCCCCCACGGGTGACATTGCTAAAATTGGTTGTAGGAAATTACCAGGACAAATTTCTAAAATTAGACGGTTAGAGGGAATCTTAAGAGAACGCACGGGCCTCCCCACGGGGGACGTGTAATCAATTTTGACAACCTCAGAATCGAGAAATGGGATTCACTTAGAATGCGACTTATCTATAAACTCCCCACGGGGTCCCTGGATTTATTGCATGGCCAAATGGAGACCGACTATTAATTTCGTTAGTCATGAATGTGGTTTTGACTTATGGAAATTAATGGGCCCTTGAAAAGTCCTTCTCTTACAAAATGCGAGTTTGTAGGGCGACCCACGTAGCATACATTCTCACGAGGTGTAATAGATGTCGGTGAATTTAAGTTAATATTGTTTTGAGGATCTCAATATTGACAGTTAAATTCAAAAGTGTTTAATCTGTAAAATTTATTTGCATGATTCTCAGGATATTCATCATGTCGTTCAATCCGTTGTCTGTCATTCTAAAAGAAAATCAGCTTACTGGTCCTAATTACATTGATTGGAAGAGGAACTTAGACATAGTGTTGACTGCTGAGGGTTATAAGTTTGCTATCACTGATGCTTGCCCGGCGGTGCCGGCGGCTGATGCTCCTGAGCAGGAGAAAGAGGAGTATGCTCGGTGGAAGAAGGCTGATGAGATGGCGAAGTGTTACATTCTGGCTTCTATGTCGAATGTTCTTCAACATCAGCATCAGTCTAAGGACACTGCAGCAGATATACTTCTCAATCTCAGGGATCTGTTCGGACATCAGTCTAGGGCTGCTAGGCAAGAGGCTTTGAGTGCTCTGATGAGTACGCGCATGGCCGAGGGCACACCCGTAAGGGAGCACGCTCTCAGGGTTATGGCGCAGCTCAATGAGCTTGAGGTTATGGGAGGTTATATTGACGGGGAAACCCAGGTTGATATTATGCTCCAATCTCTGCCGAAGAGCTTTGATCAGTTCCGGTTGAACTACAACATGCACAAGATGCATATGGCTCTTCCAGAACTGCTTGCAGAGCTTCAGTCGGCGGAGGCCTTATTCACTCAAGCACCTCAGGTGCTAGTCGCCGAGCAGGCTGGACCTTCCAGGCCTCACAAGGGCAGGAAGAGAAAGAAGTCTGCAGGAAAGGCGAAGGCACAGGATGCTCCGGTTTACCCACGACCGACCCCTCAGGCTGTGGCAAAGAAACCGAAAGGAAGATGCCACAAGTGCAATAAGTCAGGACACTGGAAGGTCGATTGCCCTCTCCTCAAGAAAGGTAACTCTCTCGTTAATGTCGTAGAAACATGTTTAGCGGTTGTATCTACCAGAACCTGGTGTGTAGATACTGGAGCCACTGATCATGTCTGCAATTCTTTGCAGGGGTTCCAGGAAACCAAGCGACTTAGGGAGGGAGAGATCACCGTCTACATGGGCAATGCTACGAAAGTGGCGGCTGTTGCAGTGGGAGACGTTACTTTATCGTTCGATAGTAGTAGTTTGGTTTTGAGAAATTGCCTTTATGTTCCTAGTTTTAGAAAGAACCTTGTTTCAGTTTCTAAACTCGTTATGGATGGTTTTTCAGTTTCGTTTGATGACATGGTTATTATTCGTTTTGAAAATCGTTTCATATGTTGTGGTTCATTAGTTGGCAATTTATATGTTCTCAAACCGAACTCTCCCACAGTGCAACATAATGAATTGAATAATGTCATAACTACATCTAATAAGAGGAAGGAGTCTTCGCAGATGAATCAAGCATATCTGTGGCACCTTAGACTTGGACACATCAACCTTAGGAGGATTCAAAAGTTAGTGGCCAGTGGACATCTCGGTCCATTGGAAGAGCACTATCCAACTTGCGAATCATGCCTAGAAGGTAAGATGGCCAAGAGGCCGTTTACGGCAAAGGGGTATAGGAGCCAAGAAGTGCTAGGATTGATTCATTCTGATTTGTGTGGTCCTATGTCGATCCAGGCTAGAGGAGGTTTCGAGTACTATGTGTCTTTCATAGATGATTACTCGAGATTTGGGTACGTTTATCTGTTGCACCGCAAGTCCGAATGCTTTGAGAAATTCAAGGAGTATCGGGCAGTTGTGGAGAAGCTTCATGGTAAATGTATCAAGTCACTTCGTTCTGATCGAGGTGGCGAATACCTTTTTGGAGAGTTCAGGA